TTTAGTACCAATACATTATACAATTTTTTTTCTTGATTTTAATATATGTAAATTAGGATGGTATCTGTCTTAAGTTTCTTAGTGCTGCTGTAACAGAAATACCACAAGTGGGTGGCTTTAAAGAACAGAAATTTGTACTCTCATAGTTCTGGAGGCTGGAAGTATAAGTCAGGGTCTCGGCCATGTCAATTCCTCATAGTGACCCTATAGGACAGAGTAAAACTGCCCTGTAGGTTTTCCAAGGAGCGGCTGGTGGAGTCAAACTGCTGACCTTTTGGTTACCAGCGGAGTTCTTAACCACTCACCATCAGGGCTCCTCCTTGTAAGTAGGCCTGGGCATTCTTTGGTTCTTTGGTGATACTCACACGGCATCTGTCTCTCCCACTATGTGCTCGTCTCCATGTCTAATCTGCTGTTTTTATAACTAGTATATAGGTTTAGGACACACCCTACAGTGGTATGGAAACCCTGGGGGCATAGTGGTTAAGAGCTATGGCTACTAACCAAAAGGTTGGCAGTTCAAATCCACCAGGTGCTCCTTGGAAACCATATGGGGCAGTTCTACTCTGTCCTACAGGGTCACTATGAGTCAGAATTGAGTTGACAGCAGCAGGTTTTTTTGGTTTTACACTGGTATGCCCTCATTAACATAACATTAAACTGCATTATGGAAGGTCCTTACATTACAACTACAGGTATAGAGGTTAGGATTCCAACATATATTTTGGGAGGACACAATTCAATCCATAACAGATGGACTGCCCAGTATGCATGAATGATGTATCGGAGGCAGTTGGAGCTCCATGCTCTAATCCTGCCTCTGCTTCTCAACTGACCTTGAGGAAGCCACTTAATTGTTCTGTGTTTCATTTTCCTCATCTGCCAAATGAGGAAGGCGGACTAAATGACCTTGAAAACCCATTCAAGGTTTAAAAAAAGAAAAAAAAGATGTCAAGCTATCCAAAAGTGAAGTAGACCTTTGCAGAGTATTGTGTAAAATTGGGGCAATTAGTGTGTGTTGTGAGGTGGTGTTGGAGGCAACTAAAGATTTGTTTCAACATATTGAAAGTGTTTTGTGCCTTGTCACTTAACCGAGGCCTCCTAACAATGTGCGTTAGTGGTTTGTGAAACCCGTCTCTAAGACCAAGGTAATTATAGTTGTTCCACTGAAGCATGACAAATGGCCTCTCACTTTGAATTCTTTTATGGCAAAGAAAAACCTTCAGTGACAGCAGCGTAGAACTTAATTACAGGCTCCAGATCTTGAGGGCAAGAATAGCGACTGTCATTGGGTCTAGTCAAGGAAGAGAAGGCAAGAGCACAGGCCCACCTTGGGAAGAGCCAGGACAAGATGATGTAACAGTGACAACACAATGACATTAACCCTTTGCTGTGGACTCTGACTCATGGTGACTCCATGTGTGTCAGAGTAGAACTGTGCTCCATAGCGTTTTCAAAGGCTGATTTTTCAGGCTGATTTTTCAGAAGTAGATCACCGGACCTTTCTTTGGAGAAGCCTCTGAATGAACTCAAACTTCCACCCTTTCAGTTAACAGCCAAGCGTGTTAACTGTTTGCATCACTTAGGGCATTTATTGAGAATTTACTATTTGCCAGGTTCTGTCCCAAATGCTTTATATACATTATCTCATCTAATTCCCACAATAACCCTAAGAGCCAGGTTATGAGATCGGTACTTTTATTATCTCTTCTTTACAAAGATGAGCACTGTGAAGCTCCTAAGAGAAGTTAAGTAAAATGTCTCAATTTATTCAGCCAGTAGTTGTCAGAGGTAGTATTTGAACCCTGTGAGTGCATTCATTTATTTAACACATAATTTATGAGTGCCTATCACATGCCAGACACCCTTCTAAGAGCTGCTGATGCAGAAGTGAATGAGGTAAAATTCCCGCTTCTATGGCGTGTGGCTAATAGATGGGAAGAGACCAATAATAACAAGTCACCAAATCAGTAAATACTTTCAGATGGTAATAAGTGCTATGAAGAAAAACAAACAGTGTGTTAGGAGAGTGACCAGTGCAAAGAGAAGGCTACTTTAGGAAAGGCCCTGGGAGGTGACATTTGACCGAGCCCTACGTGATGGAGAAAGTCAACCATGCAAAGATCTAGTGGAGAGCATTTCACACAGAGGGTCCACAAGGGCAAAGGCAGAGGTGCTCCGAAGAACTTGACTTGTTCTAGGAATGAGAAAAGGCCAGTGTGGCTAGGTAATAAGTGAAAAAGGGGTAAATGTATGCCGTCAGGTCAAAGAAGGGGGCAGAGACCAGATGACGCAGGACCTCGTAGGCCGTAGTAAGATGCTTGCATTTTATTCCAAATGCAGAAAGAAGACATTGGAGGGTTTTGAGCAAGGATGTGTTATGATCTCCAGTCTCTATAGGTGACTTTTTATACCTCTATGTTATATTGCCAGAGTCCCTGGTGGTGCAGACAATTAATGTGCTTGCTGCTAACCAAAAGATTGGAGGTTCAAGTCCACTCAGAGGCACCTCGGAAGAAAGGTCTGGTGATCTACTGCCAAAAAAATCAGCCATTGAGTATCCTGTGGAGCAAAGTTCTACTCTGACACGCATGGGTCGTGTTAGTCAGAGTTGACTCAACAGCAACTGGTTGGTTTTATGTTATACTGCCAATGAGGAGCACTTGGAAAGGGATAAATTTCTTACGTAGGACACAGGGCAGCTTAAACAAAATGTAAAAAGTTAGGGGTCAGTGTTTCAGATAAAACAAAATCTACAATTTTCATAGAAAAACAAGACTGAAATGGACAGTGAGAGGTCATCTAATATAAACTTCTGACTTTAGGTATGCAAATCTTAGGTGGACTATTTTTAAAGATCTGCATAAAGGGGACGACCTCATCTTTCTTAGGATCTTCCCTCAATGTGTAGAAAGTTGCAGTCTCGGTGCTGGACATACTTGACCACTTCTTGTTGTAGGAGCTGTGCTTCCCTCAAAAATAAATTTCATCCAAAAAAGCAAGACATTACAACCTTGGGTATGTGGTATCTCAGCAATTTACATTTTTATGCAAGCTGGCATATGTGCGGCACCCGTGTGTGTGTGTGTGTGTGGGCGCGCGCGCGCGCGTGTGTGTACGCGCACGCACGCGTGTGCGTGTGTGAGTGTTTTAATCTTTATTTATCTTTGAAAAAATATTTTTGAGAGTGCCATCAACATTTTAACACACAGGGCTTGGCTTCTCTGGTGGGAGGGCATTGTATGGATGGTCCTAAAATTTTATTGTAAACTCAGCAGCTTAATTTTTATTTTATTTGAACGTTCTTTATAAACAACAAGCATGTTAACCCATTAAAATTGGTTTGTGTCACATATAGGATGAAATTTATTGCTTGTTTATTAAAAGCTCACTATATAAGAAGGGTTTTCTTAGTTTGATGAAAGTATTGAGAGTTGATAGCCCACTTTTATTCAGCAAGCTCAGTTTGAATGACTGTATAAGACATTGCTACTGCACTGTATTTGTGTGTGTGCCTTTGCAATTGATTATTCATATGTAGGATCCTAAACAAAGTGAGGCCTAAAGATACAGATTTATTTACATAAAACCACCTTTGCAGACATTTAGTTGAGCACTCTGATAAAGTGGGCCCCAGAGAGCAAGACACTAATTGTGAAAAAATTTAATTTAAAGTTACACAAATGCAATTGAGCAGAATTTGGGCAAGATCACCACTCGCGTTAGTTTTCGTTTATAAATAGCGTGTTTGTTTCTCAGGGGAGAAAGAAATCTCCTAAGGTGACTAACCTACTTTAATGCATGAGGTTAGAACAATTCTATTCCTTTATGTGAAAGTAAGAATAAGAACGCTAGTAGCGTAAAAAGGACAGGCTGTGTGATGCCAAGGAAAGTGCAGGACAGCACCCCCAACCCCCGGCCAAGTTCCCTTATCCAACAGTTGCCATTGAGTTGGTTCTGACTCATGGCAACCCCATGCGTGTCGGAGTGGACTGTGTTCCATGGAGTTTTCAGTGACTGATATTTATAGAAGGAGATTACCAGGCCTTTCTTCCAAAGCACCTCTGGGTGGACTTGAACCTCCAACCTTTCCGTTAGCAGCTGAGCCCGTTAACCATTTGCACCACCCAGGGACTCCTCCTTATCTAAAGGTGCTGAACTAAAGAATGCTAAGTTCCTCTTCAGCTCAACCTTCCATGATTTGAGGAAAAGGATTTTTTCCCCCTGCTGTTTAAGCTAGAGAATGTTTTACGAAGCCCTTATAGCTCAGGAGGACTATACTAACTTCGTCAGAATTACAGATTCAGCTGTCAGCCCTGAGAGTGTTGAGCCGACTGAACAAGCAGATTTTCCCATTGTCTGTTTTCTAGATTGATGAATAACAATTTCATCCTTTGCATTTTGTCAGAACTCTTCCACTCTGACACTTCTGACTGCTGAGAGGTTGTCTGGAAATTTTCTAAGTCACACATTGGAGTAAATTCAAGGAGATAATAGGATTCCAGTTGAATCATCAGTGTCTCTGCCGTCAGACCTATTATTTTAGTCGCTGAGTTGGTTGAGTTGCACAACTTTCCAGAATTAATATTACAGACTTGACACTTTGTGTCTGGCTCTCAAGTCGTAATAAATGGGCGAAAGTTCTGATTGGAAACTATAAGAGAAATTATATGTTTATTATGCCAAGTTAAGTAAATACTGTTTGAAAGGATTAGTGGAGGGCACAATCAAGCTAATTGCTTTAAAAATCTTTTTTGATTTACTGGGCTCTATGAAAATGGTTAAGCAATTGATTCTGTCACGGCAAGTGATCTGAAGGAAGTGGTGTTGAGGTCACAAATGTTGTGCCGCATATGGCTGGAACTGTCCCATAAGTGAGCGGAGAGTCCCCCTGGGATGGGATGTGAGAGCTGCTGACAGACTGTTGTTCCCCTGGAGAAGACACATGTGGACAGTTTAACGTTCAGACTGACGGATTGATTTCTTTCTTTTTATTCTAGATGCTGAAGAATACCAGCCTCCAATATGGAAATCATACTGTGAGTATCTGAAATGAAAATCTCCTCAGGAAGTCTTTAGCAGGCCTGCCTATTTGAACGATTCTTGATGTTCATTTAGTGCACGCAAATAGCCCCACATCAGTGGCATGGAGAACCCAAAACCTTATTCTTCCACTAAGGAGAGGTATCAGTCAGAGGAGGACGAAAACAGCACCACTTCCCTGACCCACCCATTGCTGTCAAGTTGATTCCAATTCATAGCGACCCTATAGGACAGAGTAGAATGCCCCATAGAGTCTCCAAGGCTGTGATCTTTATGGAAACAGACTGAAATATCTTTCTCCTGAGGAGAGGCTGTTGGGTTTGAACTGCCAACCTTTCGGTTAGCAGCCAAGCGCTTTAACCACTATACCACCAGGGCTCCTTCCTTCCCTGACCAGGACCCCCAAAAGCCTGTGATCCATTTCAGGAATGCTAGAAAAGGGATATGTACATTCTGACTCTCTGCCTTTTTGGTTTAGAGCTTTTTTTTTTTTTTTTTTTTCACAGTTGGTCATCAAGGGTGAATGTGTTGATTTCGTAAACTATGTTCCTGGCTGATCATCCTAAGACTGTAATATCATATGACATTTATCACTCAAAAATGAACAGATAGCAGAAAGTAGTGTTTGGTCACTAAGGGTGACCCCTTAGAAACAGAGATCATATCTGAAAATTGGTCATCAGTTCAGCTCCTGTGGTGAAGGGAAGCCATTGTTATCACCTCAAACTCGTTTTCTTTATCCTTGGCATCATATGCCCAGCAAAGTAATTCTCCAGGGAGAGAGGGAAGCAGTGTGGTATGATGGAATCCCACTATGCCGACAGCCAGAGGATGCGGGTTCTTGTTCAGGCTCCGCTTCTAGGTAACAATATTAAGAATAATTATTATTACCGTCATTATGTTGCTGGTGGTGCTACTAGCCACTGAGAACCTGTCATATGCTAGCCACTGAATTCTCACACCAGCCCAAAGCAACAGGTACTGTTACTATCCCCATTTCATAGACCACGGCTCAGGGAGGTTAAGGAGCTTAGCTAAGTTTTCGCAGTAAGCGGTGGGGTGGCATTCCAAGTGGAGCCCAGAAGCGAGCCCGACTCCACAGCCTACAAATCTCCACACTTCTTCCTATTTAAAATTTATAAATGAACAAATATATACATATAGACACAGAGTTTATATGTACACACACACACATACAAGTATGTGTATTTTGATTACAGAGTCCCTGAGTTGCGCAGATGATCAAGCACTCAACTACTAGCCGAGAAAGGTTGGTGGTCTGAACCCAAAGGCCTGGCAATCTGCTTCTGCAAGGGCACAGCCTTGAAAGCCCTATGGACTAGTTCTACTCTGTACACACGGGGTCGCCACAAGTTGGAATTGACTCGACAGCAGCTAACAACAACAATTCTGATTATAAAAGCAATGCAAAGTTACATAAAAGACAAACATTATAGAAATACATAAAGCCAAAAGTAAAAATTTTCGACAATCTCCAAACCAGTCCCCATCCCATATTCTGCTCTGCCTTTCCCCTTTCCCAATACCTGACCTCTGTCCATTTTGGAAGGCGTATCCTTCCAATGTTTAAAATACACATGACTAAAATTAAGGGCGTTTTTTATTTCATTTTATAAAAATGGGTTTATGTTGTACTTGGTGTCCTTCAGCTCGCTTGTTTGACTTCACAAATATCTTGCTTATCTTTCCATGTCGGTACACATAGAGGCACCTTGTTCTTTACTACATGGATCTCTTCTTCCATCTGTGTAATAAAGGGGCAGTGCTGGGTCTCTTAGAGCCCTTCCAATCTCACGTTCTGTATTCTGATCTTCTGTTTTAAAAAGAAGTGCTAATGACTTAGTAATTGGATGTTTTTGTTTGTTTGTTTCCTAATGGAGTGTGAAGTGCTCTGACAGTAAATCAACAGAATATCTGTAGTGAGAGGTATTGGGATAGTTATTTGTGACTTACTATGCCTTACACACCACCTTGCACTCAGCCTTGCATACATGAACTACCCAGTAAATATTTGCTGAGTGAATGCCATCGCAGATGGCTTTACTGAAGCAAAAAGATGTCATTGGTTCAAATTTATTTCGCCTTTTTCTAAGAGTCCTTGGGCCACCCAGTATGTCTCTTAAAAGTATTTCTGAGTCCTAAAGAAGCTGGGAAGGCATTGCTAATTGCATGTTCACAGTATCAATTTTATCCTAGTGTACTGGATTTAAGTTCGATTTTTGGATACAACCAAATTGCATTTTATTTGTTGTTGTTATTTGTCGCTAGAATCTTGAAACTTCAGATATAGGAGGAACAGTTGAAGCCATTTAATACAAATGTAACGGCATATATGAACTCTGTCTTATTACTCCTAACTAATGGTCATCCAGGCTCTAGTTGAGGGCCTCTAATGCTTGGTAAAGTAGAGGGTCAGCAAAAAAGAGGAAGACCCTCAATGAAACAGATTGACACAGTGGCTGCAACAATGGGCTCAAGCATAACAACGATTGTGAAGATGGCGCAGGACTGGGCAGCGTTTCATTCTGTTGTACACGGGGTCGCTATGAGTCAGAACCAACTTGACAGTGACTAACAACAACAATAATGATGTGGAACTCCAAAAATGAGGGGAGTGTGCCATCTGCAATGTTATCCATGGTATCACATGTGTTGATCAAAGCCCTAAAGAACATTACTGAGAAAGACCTCAGTCTTGGTTGTTCCTCATCTATGAATTCTTTGAGTTGGCGTGTTGGACCAGTTATAAACTAACTTGACAATATATTGTCAAGCTCATGATACTCAGTCTTATTCCCAAGGCTATCAATCATTCATTTAATCTTTCAACAAACATACATTGAACACCTTTTTTTATTGTTGTAGTTTAAGTGAAAGTTTACAAGTCAAGTTAGTCTGTCATACAAAAATTTATACATACATTGCTATGTGACCCTAATTGCTCTCCCTATACTGTGACAGCAC